CTACCTTCATGTCAAGTACTAGGAAAAAGTACGAGTACAGGGACAAAACTTTTGTATGAAAAAGCGTCGAGTATCAAATTCTATAAAGTTTGAAGCAATTTATACCAAGGTACCACTGTATTATACATGTAATTTCATTATTCATCCCCCATGTTTCAATTATTTTCAGTAATATGTGAAAATAGAAACTTACATTGAATTACATTTTTCATTTTTTTCATATGGTGTAGAACTCTTTGGAGCTTTTCTCAATCCATTTTATTTTTACTGTTTCTTATTGTTTACTACTCACTTCAAACCCTTTATAAACCTCTTAAAAAGTAACCGTAAATGTATGATTCTTGAAAGGCTCTTTGCTTCTTTCCTTCCTTTTTTCCTGAGAAGTCTCAGTTTATATGGTGAACTTTCTGTCAATTCTCAGTCTGATCTGACTGATAAGCTTACTTTGTTAAAGCTTAAAGTATTCCTTTATTAGCAGTATATAGCTTTTCCTTAGCTAATATCACCTTCAAGTCTAATGACATGATTAGAATGTTATTTAAGGTTCATTGCTTCCTCTAGACAATGAACAAACAATTCCTACTGAGTTCAAATAAACCTAATTGATTCAGACTACATACATTTCCTAAATGTTTTGTAAATTGCAAATGTTAGATTTTTAGTCACCTGGTTTACTAGGAAGTGAGAGGTCAGATTGAGATAATTCACTCAATTTAAGATACTAATTAACTAGCTTCTGTTGGTAAAACTGAACAAAAGATCCAGAAGGCTTATAGATGCCCTTTTGTGTAGCCTGGTATGGAAGTTGCATTAGCTGTTTGAAGGATGAATTCTTTGACTAACCTCTGTCCTTTGTATTGATAAGCTTTACCATGTATTCATGCACAAACCCAAACAAGCATATATCTTTAGTACTTCTATATGGCTCTGATACCGTTGGGTTATAATCTCAAGATTCTTTCTTAAGAGAACATTAGTTCTATGTACTTTGCTTTGTTGGTAGGAGATGTACACAGAGATAACAGGAATGCAGAGGTTTGGGGCTTTCTACATGGATTATCTGTACACAATGGAGAGCACCAGTGGCAAAGGTACTTAATTTCTCTGTTTGCTTTCTCTTTGAATAACAGAAACAAAAGCTTATTCAGAGGCACCTGACAGTCCTTGACCGACTGTCCTTAGGCTTACCTTTTTAAAGCCTAACTTAAATCTGGCCTGATTTCTTTAATGCCTGTTTGTCTATCATCCACCCTTGTTTTCTGTTCAGAGACTTCGGAATAAATAATGTGCATAAAAATATAGTGATATCTTAATAACTCTTTAATTTAGACTGAGGAAACCTGGGTTCAGATCTCCACTTTGAGGAATGCTGAGTTGCAAGAATAGCTTCCAGAGGCAAAGGGGAAGTGAAAAGCCAATTATTATTATTTACTTAAAAGATTTAATTCAGCATGGGTAAAAGCTTCTAAAAAGAAGAATCCATCAAACACTGAGGCAATTTGTTTCAGGAAACTCTGTGCATTAGGAAGTGCTTTCTGATGCACTTTCCAGTTTAATCAAATCTGTTTTTCTTGGTAGTTTTGAGCCCATTGGAGGAACAGAACAATTTTTTTTCAATGGTACTTATTCCCCGGTTACTTGCATCAGATTGTGATGAATAAATAAGGCCACTCCTTATTGCCCATTGGCATTGATGAAATCACCATCAATCAGTTATAAAAGGCAGTTTTACTNGATAGCACATGACCATACTTGATTATGATATGCTTACAAAAGCATATCACTCAATCACACAGTTGTTAAATTAGTCACATAGTTATTAAACAAAGCCATTCTCTTGAATGCTGGTTTTTTTTTTTTTGCCGGAAACTGGCAAAAAAATGTAGCAATTTGCTACACATGTTTGCTGAATATTACAGCCAAATGTAAATGTGAACCAGTTGCCAAGTCCTGAAATGTGATCATGTGACCACAGGGGGAGTAGCAGTCAGAACTTTGAGAATGGATCATAAGTAGCTTTTTAAAGTTCATTGCAACTTTGAATGATCATTAAACAAATGGTCATAAGTCAAAGACTACCTGTAAAGATATTATGTGTGTTGAATTAGGGTTAGGGTGAGCCACCCCCACCAGATATTATGTACAGTATTGGAAGCAATCTGCATTTGTGAAAAATAGGTTTATTTAAGTTCTACGCTGTGATTTCTTTATATTTTTACATATTTTAATTTTTTCCCCTTTTATACCAGGAAGCATGCTTTTTCCACTGTGGAGAAAATCTCAGTACAAAAGGAATGACATATCTTACCAATTCACTATTTGATTATAGAAGTCCCGAAAACAATGGTGTCCGTGCAGAATTTATTTTGGATGCAGCTGCCCATAAGGTCTTTTTCATCCCTAATTTGAGTTTGCTTAATGGTCAGATTTTCTGCCTTTATACACTTTATGTTTAGTAGATACAGTTATAAAATTTGTGTTATGCAATTTCTTAAAATATTTTATTACTTTGCTGGCCTTAATTTTTGTGCTAAGAAAGGTATATGAGTGTTATATCCACTAATTCTTGGAATACGTATTTTTCTTTACCATTCAGAGGCTAAAATCAACATGAGGTGACCAAGTGTGTTACTTCTAGTGGTGTAAAAAAAATAAATTAGCCCTTTTTAATTGGATAGAATTTTCAGTAGGGATTAGAAAGAGATTCAGTTTAAACCCCTTTATGTAATGAAATTATTAATTAGTTGTGGGTAGGCTACTATTTTGCAGCATAACCTTAAAAAGATGTTGTGCTTATTAAAATAAGATAAATGTAATATGCTCCCTTAAGCGAGGCCAAAGACTGTCAAAAGTAAATGTGAGAAATGAAAGTTAGTATATCCATTAAACTTCTTAACTTTTGGTACTCAATTACAATTCTTAAAAGGCAAAAGTTGCCATCGCAATATTCATAAGTGGCAGGCTAATTTTCTAACAATGTTCACATTCGGATTCTTTAAAGCAATACAGTCTGAACTGAAGTGTCCAGAATTTTGTTTTTTTTCCAAAAGAACTTTTGAGATTGCCTAATTAGAGTACAGTGCAATGCATGACAACTAAAGTTGGGATAGAGAGGTGGAAGAAATTTGATAACATTTTTGAGTCAGCATCTTTAGAGGTTACTTCCAATACAGTGGTACCTTGATACTTGTCTGGGATTCTTGCTGTGAGGTGCAACAAGTACTAAAAACAACAAATATCTACCACATGACCCTTTAGGAGTAGGGGGTCACAAGGCAGCTGATGCCATCAAGTTCTACCTTCATGTCAAGTACTAGGAAAAAGTACGAGTACAGGGACAAAACTTTTGTATGAAAAAGCGTCGAGTATCAAAT